CCAAGCCGACAATGACAGCTGCATGACACGAGTACAAGAGATTTCACATCGGATGGAGGCATGTTCGAAATTCGCAGACTGGATCTTCCATGAAACTCCGGAAGCCAAGGCGAGGCAGCAAGCGCGGCATGCGCCCTCCCTGTGCGACCCGCCTCGGTGAAGAACTGCACCTGCCGCAGTTAGATGGGACCAGGAGGTACAACTGCCGTCAGCGGCGTCTTTCGCAGATCATTCGGAGCTCGATGGATTTTTGAGCGCTGTTGAAGACGATTTTGCCGAGCCCCCGGAGCCTGAACCTCTAAGCCTGAGCACTCGACAGCCCTGAACTCTTCATACCCTGATCCCTTCACCCTAAGGCCCAGGGCTCTTTCGAGAGGCCCCTCTCCGGATGTCTCGACCCCTGCCGCCCCTGCCTCGCCTCCTCGTAAGGCATATTCAGATCTTCCGGGGTCAGGACGAACTCGTCCGTGTATCCTCCCAGAAGACTCTTCGGAAAGGCGGGCAATGACATCAGGCAAAAACCTCCTGCACTTGTCACGCTTAAGGCGATGGCGAGCGCAAGGCATTCGCCAGGCTTGAGAAGCACAGCTGCCAACTTCGAGACTGAATTTGAGAGGAAGTGCAGGCAACTTACACCCTGACAGGATTCGTATTGAGCTCCCGAGGTCAAGCTAATGGAAGATGGCAACGGCAGTGTTAGGCTAGTTTATTCCCTGGAGTTGCTTCATCACTTATCATCAATATTTGTGTCCAGAGAAACGCAAGGCCCTTGTGTGAACCCAGATCCACCCTTTGGAAACGGCAGTCACTGCCCTAAATACGGCCTGGCCTCTGCGCCGGCTGCCGTGAACCGCCGAGACCACATACCTTGTGGTTGAGCTTCATGTCTTTCTTGCGGCTTAGGGCTTGGCCACGGTTTAGGGTTTAGGGTTTGGGGTTCGTGTCGCAGCACGATCTGGCATACAAGACCCGTGATGCAGCAACGTAACATAACTAAACTCAGACGACACCCCGAGAGGACCCTAAATGCTCCGAAACTTTCTAAACCTTGCATCCCACTAAGACTGGGCTTTGAGAATTGGCGGCCCGAGGTACCCGGCCACCCCCAAAATGCCCATTCCGGCACCCACGGCCGCGCCAGCAGCCTGAAATAGCTCGCGATGATTAGCAGCATCTAGATAAAGCCTTAGGGCACGACAAAGAACGTCTAAGAACATCACCAGCCAATCCCCAGCATGTGCAGCCCGAGCTTTGCTCAGGCAACCGAACAGCTACGGACAGGCGCCGTCTAGAATGGTGATCCCCGAGATCATGATCGAGATGCGACCACACGTGGTACTGCCAATATCAGGCTTGTCTTGCATCTTCTTGCATCTTGGGGGTCAGGTCAATGTTTGATCATGTTTGCAGCTCAGCAGCACCCCGAGCTGCGTAGGGCGGCACCGCCCTCCTCGATTCTCTTGGGCCCAGGGGCTTCATTATGATGTGCTTGCTGCAGCTGTTTCTTATTCTGAGTATCAAAGAGGGTTATTGCACTGCTCACCATTGTCATGGGCATCATCGCCATCATAGTCGGAGACCTGCAGCACGAGTAAATAATGCACTCCAATTCTGTCTCTTTCACTACACACTTCGCCCATCGCGAAGTATGTAGTTAAGGACCTACATGGGTAGTTGTCAAAATTATGGCCCCTTTTGGGGTACCCTAAATAATAGGTGCCGTATTATAATAAGGACCCAAAAAGGGACCATCATTTTGACAACCACCCACATGTACTTGGTGAAAACCTGGGATCCTGAACGGGAGAGAGACCCCACTATGACCGGAACTTTTCGACAACTACATACCAAATAAGGAGACAAGGGATCCACACTCACAGTGAGTCTGGTCGGCATCTACACATACCAATGTAACACCCTACCCATAGGCCCCAAAGTAGTTCCTTTTTGGGGTTACCTTATAGGATTCTATATATGAACCCCAAAGGAACTACTTTAGGGCCCATGGGTATACACTAATAGATTCCTTTCAGAGGCAAAACCCATGGGAACTCTCAACTGCAACCCAGCGCATCCCAAACCCGCGACGTCCCTTTCCTAGAACCCCTGGAACCCAAACCCCGGAACCCTTGAAACACCTGCAACCCTGTCAGAGACCCTTACAGGGAGAAACGAAAAGCGTCACCCACCCTGAACCCCATGGACCGCGAAGCCGCTGAAACCCACGAAAGGCCCAAAAACCCCAACGAGAGCCCTAGAGAGCCCCACACCCTGCCCTAAACCTTTAACCCCAAAAGCCCCTGAAACCCCTAAACCCTGAAACCTCAAACCCCTCAGAACCCCCAAAAGTCCCTAATCTCTAAACCCGGACCTGCATTGCGACAGCCATCCTCCGGCGCGCTGCTTCAAAGGCCCCAAACGAGCGCTCCACATGCCGAGCTCGAGCTCGGGATTCAAAAGGCCGAGGCTTTGGACTTGTTTTGGGGTTATACGGGCTTCGGGGCTTAGGGACTTAGGGGTTTGGGGTTATACGGGCTTCGGGGCTTAGGGACTTAGGGGTTTAGGGCTTCGAGATTTAAAGGGTTCAGGCGGTTTAGGGCTTCGAGGTTTAAAGTTTTCAGGCGGTTTAGGGCCCAGGCCTCCGGGGGGGGCTGTTTGGAACAGCACACGGGTGCTTTGCCTCCAGGGCAACAGGAACTTGGGCTTTCGGGTTAAGGGAATTGCCCCCTCCGCTTCCTTCCAGGTTACTCTGGTTAACTCTGGTTAAATGTAGGGGCCTTAATAATTGCCTTACTAATTAGAATAGGGTTTTGGGGTGAACAGTATGATACTATAATTAGAATAAGGAGCCCTAATAGTAATATTGGTAGTTATTTAGGCTTCTTTATTACCTTGCCGTTGTCTCGGCAGTCAAGCTGACTGCTTTAAAGAAGGAAGGCACCAGTTGGGTTGCCGTGGAGGCACTACTGCAAGAAGAGATATGCTCAAGATACGTCTTGCAGGACATGTTGGATCTTGAGCTGAATCATCTACCACACCGAGGTGTCTTCATGACAGTACAGCTCTTGACTGTTCTCACCGACCAATGTGATTCATGGCATTCCATCTGGGGACGTTTTCGGCTTGTCTTCAAAAGCACGGCAAAGTCCTTCGTGGCAACAGGGCGATGTGCACCATCGGGGTTCTGCTGAACCATAATCGAAATCCTGCGATTGTCAGTGATAAGCTTACATAAACTCGAGTACACAGCATTGAAATTGCCAAACGTTTGCGATCGGATTTCAACAAAGAGAGATCGACCGGTATATTCGGTACGCTGAAGGTTGTCAGTCATCTGTAAGGCAGAAGGAGACATCCAATGCTTTTTGGCGACCAAGGGGAAACGACCTGAATAAGGTACTTCTAATTTCGGCCCGTGTATATCCAGGGCCGCTTTCTTGAGCGGTTGCGATTTGGGGATGTCACGTTCACATATAGCCTAAAGCAAAACCAATGGCCTTCGGAGATTCCTCACTGGTACGAATTTCCTGGACCATCCACCTCCAATATGGTTACCTGCCAAAACACTTCACGAATCTCACATTTGCTCCACACTGCGAGCTCCGCACCGGTCGAGCAGATCATGATCCGACTGATTGTCCCAACAGATTAGATGTTGTTTCACCATGTTTCACCAAGTCCCACCAATCCACCATTTTTGTTTGAAACCTGTCGGGCGGAGGACACCTTCTCAGTAGCTCAGAAGGGCTACCAATTCCACGCTGGGACCACAGAGGATTGCATGGATTCTGAGCCGTACTTCGCCACTCTGAGCGAGCGTACTCCGTGACAAGAGTTACTTGTTGCCGCTTTACAGCCAGGCACAATCAGGAGAGAGCACGAGCTACTCAAGGGACTAAGCATGCATTGCTGACAGCACAACATGCCACGTTCCTGCACAGCAAGGAAACCTGCTGTGCATGTTTTGTGCACAAACCGCACGAGACATGGAAACGGTTTTTCACCCGACCAAAGTTAAAAAACACTTAGACTACGCACAGGTAGACAAGACAGGCAAAGAACGTCCGGTTTGCAACCATGCTCAGCAAATCAACATATAACTCGAGGTTTGGTTATAGTCAGCTTGAAAAGGCTTGAAGTGCGCAATCTGCTGGATCTATGTAAACATCTCAGAATTGACCAAACGCATCAAAACCGCCCTGTGTCCTGCATAAAGATCATGAAGCCGTTTTGACTTACAACCCCATCTTGATATCCTCATGCAACACAATCGGACGCAAACCCCGGGTCCCAGGAAACAGATGAGCATTGCAACCACATCAAAGCAATCTCTCACAAAACTGTGAGCTTGGCGGCTTGGCGTCCACGGCAAAAATTGGCTGCTTCGATCTCAACATGGATTGTGTTGTCGCACCACTCTTTCCCACGATTTCTACATGAGGCAGGCCACGACGGGCCAAGGTCCTTGTCAGCCAGATCCAACATGTCCTGGCGTGGGGAGCGGGGTTGGGGGGAAGACTTTGAGACCTAACGCTGAGACTGTAGGTTCCCCAAGTTCTCCCAAATCTTCGCAGTGGAAGCAGTACCGGCGTCTCAAACAGCCATGAGCTGAGGTTTCAACATGCAAACATGACGGCAGCGATCCCATCCCGACAGCTTTTCCTCAGGTCCGGGCACAGTTTAGCAGGATGTTGCAGCCTTGTGGCGTGAATCCATCAGAAACGCGGTCCCCAAACTCTCTTTGAGACCATGCAGAGGTCAAGTCTACTTGAAACCGATGCAACGCATCCGTGCAAGGTCAGCAAGCGCAGCTGGGGCACAGAGTCTCCAAGGTCAGGCTGACACTGGCCGTCAACGTGCCCCAGTCTAAATGATGGGCTTCTCCAAATTCGGGGTAGGGATAGACATGGAGGTGTGCTGCGCAAAAATCCCGCACGGGAACCCCGAAACATGTTCAAGCCTGGGCTTAAAGGAGAAACCAGAAATCATGAAAGGGCCAACTACTTTGCCTGTGCGCTCACGAACTTGGCAAAAGTCTCGTAGGGTTCTTTCTCAGCAATCCTTTGGGCCATGCTCAAGAGCGTGGAGCCGGAGCCTGTCTTGGCACTGATATCGGCACCACTTGCCAGCAGCAGCTTTGCGATCTCCACAGCATCGTCCTGCTGGCTCGACAAACCACACCAGTTGCGATAGCAGCGACCTAGTTCGTGCAAGGGCGTCCAGCCGTGCTTGCTTCTGGCGTCGACCGGTGCTCCCACTTTCAAGAGGAACTTCACCATCTTCGTGCAAAGGTTGCGGGCCGCTTCGTGCAATGGGGTGAAGCCGGCCTTATCTTCGGCGTCTACCTTCGCCCCTTTTGCCAGGAGAAGCTCTGCAATAGGCACGCTTGAACCGTCGCTGGCAGCCTCATGCAATGGCGTTCTGCCATGATGATCCATGGCATTGACCCGCGCTCCATTGGCCAAGAGGAACTTGACCATGCTTATGCTTGGGTCGTATCGGCTAACAGCAACATGCAATGGCGTGTCGCCATCAGGATCCGTGGCATTGACCTGCGCTCCATTGGCCAAGAGAAACTTGACCATGCTTAGTTGACTTGAGTGTGGGCAGTTGCCAGCATGAACGACAAAATGCAACGGCATCCAGCCATAAACACCATCAGGCTCATTGATCTGCGCACCTTTTGCCAAAGCGAGCTTTGCGATCTTGACGTTGCAAGTCCCAGCGGCGTTGCGCAAAGCTGTGCTGGCATACTTTGGCGCCTTGTCCAGGAGAAGCGCGGCCGTCTCCTCGCCACGGCCGTGTTCAATGTTGTCAACGGCCGCAGCGACAATATTCGGATTATCCACACTTGCCCCGTTTGCAAGGAGCAACTTCGTTCGTCCACTTCAGCTGCGGAGCCGAGGCCTCCTTGCTGCCATGAGAGCTCAGTGTTGCCGTTGTCATCCTCAGGGAGCCTTGGGATGAGAGCAGATCCCTGCACTTCCGCAGGCATGTTGCCAGGCCGTGTAGTCGTTTTGGCTTGAACCGTTTCGCCCAATTTGCTCTGCTGGCACCTCACGACTGGTGACTTCGGATGGCGCGCATGGCAGACCTTGAGAGGGAGGCTTTCCTCGAAGAGAACAACATGTCCGTTGCGCCGCAGAGTGCACATCAGTCTTTCTTTCAAGGGATCCGATTCCTTGCGATCATGCTCTCATGCTTCGTGGCCTTCGCCACAACCGGCATCGTGTTGAAATCTCGTGCCAACGGCATCCTTCCAGCAGCTGCGGATGCGAGCACCGAAAAGTGGAACGAGCTCGGCCGCAGCCGTCGAGCAATCCCCGGAGAAAGCAACCAACAAAACAGGCACCATACGGTCATTACGCCACTACGCGATCACTAGCGCAATCTCAGCGCACCGTCGAGCTGCTGTGAGTAAGAACGCAATGGCGGCTTATAGGCTTGGCAGAACATCATCAAGCAAGTGTACGAGGATCCACACATTAGGATTTGGAAGTACCTTAAGAACCCAAAACCCACTTTTTTGTAGGTTCTTATTATAAACCCTAATATGGGATTTATAGGGACCCTACAAAAAAAGTAGCTTTTGGGTTCTTGAGGTATAGCTAGCGCCCTAAGCTACGTTTGGCTAGAGCTCGGGATCGCTCAATCTCGCGGGGGGATGTGGTGAGGTTCATGGAACTCAAGGATCGGGAAGATAGACCGCAAAGGGGCTACAGTTCCTACCGCTACATGCGATTGCAGTGGACTCTTTCACGAGGAAGGCTGCAACGATACCGCTTGCACGGAAAACAGCTCCAGCGACAGCAGTCCCAAAATCTGAAGCCTCCCGACCCTACAGCCGAAAAAAAAAGCGTAACAAACCCTGAACCCCACGACCGCGAAGCCGCTGAACCCCCCCAAAAGGCCCCTAAACCCTGAAACCCCAAACCCCTCAGAACAAACAAAAGTCCCAAAAGTCCCTAGAAACCCTAAACCCTAATCTCTAAACCCGGACCTGCATTGCGACAGCCATCCTCCGGCGCGCTGCTTCAAAGGCCCCAAACGAGCGCTCCACATGCCGAGCTCGAGCTCGGGATTCAAAAGGCCGAGGCTTTGGACTTGTTTGGAGTTATACGGGCTTCGGGGCTTAGGGACTTAGGGGTTTAAGGCGTTTAAGGGTTTTGGCTTTAGGGCTTCGAGGTTTAGGGTTCAGGCGGTTTAGGGCCCAGGCCTACGGGGGGGCTGTTTGGAACAGCACACGGGTCCGTTTTGGACTTCCGGGCTTTGCTCCGAAGGGGCAAACGAGGAACTTGGCCTTTCGGGTTAAGGGAGGTGCCCCCCTCTGCTTCCTTCTAGGTTAATGTAGGGGCCTTAATAATTAGAATGGGGTGTTTTGCTGTTCCTTATTCTAAATATAGCATAATATACCCCAAACCCAATTCAAACTGTTAAGGCCCCTACATTACTCTGGCTACTTGCTGTTATCTCGGCAGTCAAGCTGACTGCTTAAAAGAAGAAGGCGCAAGCTGGGTGGCCGTCGAGGCACTACCTGACCTCAAGAAGAGATATGCTCAAGATGCGTCTTGCAGGACATGCTTGATCCTGAGCTGAATCAGCTACCGCACAGAGGTGTCTTCATGACAGGACAGCTTTCGTGATCCCGGAAACCCTGCAGAGCTCAATTTCCAAACCAAAGCCCTACCTAGACCCTATAAATATAATACATTGTTTGGTTCCCTTAGTTTCTCATTGTAGGATCCTAGCCATAAAACAAAAATCATCCCAACAACGGTGCTACATGTAAGGGCCTAGGTACAAAACAAAACATGTATGAAGCCCTCCACAGGCACTGTGAACCCGAAAAAGTCATGCAAAAACCGTATAAACCCAATAGAACCTTGGGTCCCAAATGCGCCAATCACACTTTTGCTCCTGTCGAAGTTGAAACCCAATGAACGGTCTCTCTTCTCCCTCTCTCTCTCTCTCTGAATATCTCGGAAGTGCCGTCATGTGCGCTGAGTTCTGGGTTCCAGGGTTAGCCAGTCACAAACAATCTCGTACAACCGAACCTCAGCACTTGGTATCCCAAATCATCCGATGGTGCTGTTTTCGCCGAGGTCATGCGATGGCTTGAGCCGCTTGGGCGGCGGGTCTTTATCCTCGTCGTCATCCTAGGCAGGTCTCACCATACACAGATGCAGACGCCTCTCACTTCACGCCCATGCTTCGGGCAGGGACGGTCAAGGTGACGGCAGGCCACTGAAAAAGAAGCAGACTCGTCAGCTGAGCGCTTTTTGAACTTTGCAGGTGCTCTTCGCCGTGCCCCGAACGGGCTGGCATCAGCTCCAAGCACCATTGTCTTGCGGCACAGGGGCCCCCCGACTTCACGCCTGTTTTAGTGAAAGCAGGAGAGAGACAGCGGCCATGTGCTGCTCATGCATTGGCCTCAGTGGCTTCGGACTGCAAAGGTCAACTCAGAACGACCGCCTGGCCTAGATGTCCTGAGACAGACCCCTAACAAAGTGAGGGAACGCGCAGAAAAGTAGCAAAAGGGCATAATCATACTGGACATTGCCAGCTTCAGCCGACCAACCAAAGCCTGGTCTGCGGACTCGCCGTGCGCAACTGACAAGCCTTTCAGACTTGAGGTTGCTGCCTGGAAGTGGCAAGCCCCTGCACTGCAAGCTGCACTCGCAGCGCGTTGCGCGCGTGCATGCTGGCCCACAGGCCTGTCGCACTGAGGGGCCCACGCATGGCATGTTAGCTGGCAGACCTGGCAGACTGCGACTGCGGGCATGCGGCCATGCCGCATGCTGCAGGTGAGAGTGGATTTACGGCGCAGAGGCTGTGCATCGCTGCACGCAGTACGGCTCGTCAAGCGCCCACACTTTCGACTGCGAGGTGGTTTCGAGAGCCTTCTGGAGGCATGCAGCCTTTGCAGGTTCACTTGTGCCCCATGCAGAGCACTTGCTACAAAACACTCTACGTGGTGGGAGCAAGCCGCGTGATTGAGCTTGACCGCAAGCAGACCTGTGTCATCCTCCAAGCAAGGACTGCGAACTCCTTTGATTGCAGCTCACAGGCCCAAAGACAAACTCGCACTGCATCGGCGTGAAAACACATGCAAGCATGAACAACTGTCTGATCACGTTTGGGCATCAAAGCTCTCCATGGGAGACTTGCGCCACTTAAGCTTTGCGAGCCTGGTCCTGCCCGCACCACAGTATACTGTTTTGAAGCCAGAGCAAACGGATCTGACATTCTCGACTGCCAGCGTGAGGCAGGAGGCCATGCGATGTGCTTCTGTGTAACCGATTGTGCGCCCCTGCTTTAGTGATCGGAGGCAGACTAAGTCGACCTTTGCATGCTAGCTGAGAACAGTAGAACGAGAAAAGGGTCTCCCAGCTGGCGGACATTGTACTGTTTCAAGGCGCAACATCACCGCTGCAAGCCCCCACTCTATGTGAAGCAGAATGCGGGGCTCCTACTCGCTCAAGCCCCCTCGCACATTTGCACGGCCATTTCGGACTAGAACACTGGCTTTCTCTCAGACAGGCAGCAGTACGACAGCTGATGACATCCATCAAGTCTCTTCCGTAGCAGTTGCCGGCCTTCAAGAATGGGAACGTGAGGAAGAAGGAGCTGCAGTCACATGCGGCTTCCTGCCCGGTGCCATGGCAGCTGCCCTTGCCGAGCGGCCATGCTCAGCCATGGAAGAGCTCCGCGAGCACAGAACATGAGAAGCACGGATACATCATGGCCGCACTTGGACCTGCAGACTTCAAGTCACGAGGTTTGTGCAATGCTGCGCCACGGCAGAGTCCATCGAGAGCGATGGAGGATGGAGAACTGCAATAATAATCCTGTAAACTTCAGATGGCTTGGTACCATGAGCCCATAAGGCTCCGTGACACTCGATGGGCATCAGCACGGCAAGATGCAACTGCTGGCTGAAAGGGCAATCCTGCAAGGCGAAGGAGCCTAGCAAAAAAGGCTTGCAAGACAGTCGCAGCGGCCTCTCGCAGCCGCCATGGCCATGGCCACGGGAGGACCGCAACCGCGAGGAACCTGTGCTTCTGCCCCGGAGAGACTCTCTGCTTTGCCTGCTTTGCCGGCTTTGCGTGTTCTCCTGCCCTCTTTCAAGGAATTCATCTCAACCCCGTTTCAGCAGGAAGACCTTGCCTCGGGCACAAGCTGCGCTGTGAGGAACTGAGGCTGCTGCGTGCACTGCCGTGCGCACAGCTGGCTACTTAAGCCGCATGCAGGAGGACTTCGGCAACTACCACAGGCATCGTCAGCACGAAATCAGATTGCGGAGCTGGTGAGGCCATCCTATATGCGAGTTGCAAGGCACGGGTACATTGCATGCAAATGTCAAGTGTCAAAACAAATGGTGCAGTGTTCCTAAAAACATGTGTGTGATGCCCTACACATGGCCTGCACGCCGAACTCGGTCTCGAATGCATGCAGGCTTTCACGGACCCCAATACCTGCTCGTGGACCCAGACTGTACTAACACAACGGTTGCGAGAAACCCGCAACTCCACCGTGCTTGGGGTGCAGCGCTGCACACAGGCGACTTGATGGAAAGCGGATGAGACAGTAAACGTCGCTCAGGCGTCAGGCGTACGAGACGGGGAAGGAGCCCACAAAATGG